TGGTATGCAGAACACGAATGTGATGTTTATGTTGCGCGGCAGCGCCATCCGGTGGAGTTACGGTGAACCTTCGGGGAAATCCGGGTTTAGCCCCTCACTTAATCCTACCGTAACTCCACCGGATGGCGCTAGCACGCGAAATAAACACCATATTCGTGTTCAGCCTGCCAAATAACCCCCTTAATCGAAGTTTCAGCAAACTTCATGATTTTCGTTTTTTGGGTCGACCAATGTGGAACAGCGCCAAAAATTGTGTTCAAAACCTCGTTAATTGAATCATATCTTTCTCTCTCAATGCTCAAACTGTGAAAAATTCACCAACTACACGCAAACGTTTTGGTATTTCAATGATCGGAATTTTGTACTTTATGTTTCCATTTATTTTGCATGTGGTGCTGGTAGAAAGGGAAGTGCAGAAGTGTTGTATAGACATTGTTTATTTTTGTAGAGTTTTTTTTACCGGTCATTATCAGTATTCTTCTGTTTCAGTACTTCAAACCTCGCTCAACTAGTAAAAGTGATGGTGTGGTATATCGTGGAAACAAGTATGAGCTCGACAAATTGGAACGTGACATCGCAACTTTTGTCCACGATGACTACAAACAAATGAATCATGAATTGTTGCCCATATTTGAACCTGTTGAACACTCCAAATCATTAACTGATATGTGGAGTAATGCTGGTTCTGCGAACTTTTTGGGAGTAATGGTCCAGGAGAATCCTGCCTCTATAGCATGGGCTGTAAGTTCTCAAAAGTTTAATTGGAGTTTTTTTTACTTTGCATCAGTTTTTTACTCTTCTACTTTAGCTTGCCATGAACTTCAACAACGATCGTAACATCCGCGTTGTCCTAGCTCGTCCTCAGCATCCGGAAGTTTCAAAGCAGCTAGGGCATGATGCTAACAACCGTTTCATGCTGTTCCACCGCGGAGAATCAACTCCAGTTTGGACCAGCCCGTGAGTAATAACTCGAATATTTTTGCTCATGACTTTTCAATAACGCATTCAAAACTTAACGTTTAAATGATTATCAAGATTGCGAATGGATAATGCACTCATTCTGTCCTAGGATTGAATGTGTGATAAAAGTATTGTTGACTAAACGATTCACGGAAAGCAAGTATTCTGCGTATTATGAAAATATTCAGAAGCGACGCAAAGTGGACCGACATCCAAGAAAAAGTTATGGAATTTGTTACTCATGTTGCTGCTCCAGCAAAGGCCGAGAAGGTGCCTATTGGAAGTCTTTTTGCTCATTATTTTTTCTTTCATACAAAATCTTACAGACACCCGCTGTTGAACCACAAGCTCCTGCTCCTTCTGCCGAGATCGACATGTCACAATATAGAGTCGAGTTGGCTGATATGAAGAGCACTATAAGCTACATGCTTTTCCAGGTAAATATTCACATTTGGCTGCTTTTTTTGTAGTCGCCCAGTAATAAACTTCTAAGGACTCTTGTGATATGTTTATGATGTGGTTAGTTTCTATTGACAAGGAATCCGCTCTCTTTGTTCAGGAAATTGCGAGACAGCAGGTGGTTGAAGGTGAAGATTTGGCTGGGCTCAAGTCGTGGATCCATGCAGTCAGTAAGGTGAGTGGATCTTTTGGAGAGTTTGTGAAGACAGTTTTATGAACTCGTAATTGCGCTGATGCGCCGTAAACCATGAGATTTTGGTTTCATAATTCCAGCTGCATTCGTAGCTTTAATTGCGATAGTACCGATTGGAAGTTCTTGGGTCCGCAATCGTTGAAGTAAACAATTTTTTTT